CCTGCGGACTGAAAGGTCCCAGGTTCGATTCCGGTCAAGGGCATGTACCTGGGTTGCGGCCACATCCCCAGTAGGGGGCGTGCAGGAGGCGGCTGATCGATGTTTCTCTCTCATCGATGTTTCTAACTCTCTATCTCTCTCCCTTCCTCTCTGTAAAAAATCAATAAAATATATTTAAAAAAAATAAAAAAATACATTTTTAAATAATTTGTGGTTCAAAGAGAGAATCATAAAGGAAATTATAAAAACCCTTTAAGCTGACTTAAAGTGGTAGTACTACACATAAGAAAAGTTGCTGGATGCAGCTGAAATAGTTTGAGGGTCAGCTTTAAATGCTTATATTTGAAAAGAAGGCTGGAAATTAATGAGCTAAGTTTACAATTTGAGAAGAAAAAGGCCCGGCTGGTGTGGCTCAGTGGTTGCATTGACCTATGAACCAGGAGGTCATGTTTCGATTCCCGGTCAGGGCACAGCTCCAGGGTGGGGGCTCAGTCCCAAGTGTGGGGAACGCAGGAGACAGCCGATTAATGACTCTGTCAGCATTGACGTTTCTATCCCTCTCTCTCCCTTCCTCTCTGAAATCAATAAAAAAATATTTTTAAAGAAAGAAGAAAAAACCAGAGAACACACCCCAAGAAAGTAGAAGATATAATACAGATAAAAGTAGAATTTAACAAACTAGAAAGCAGACATAGAGTAATACAGGACAATAATGCCCAAAAGTTCGCTCTTAAAAGATAATAAAACTGACAAAGTTCTACTAAGACAAGGAAAAAAGGGAGAAGGTGCAAGCAAAGAATTCTAGAATGAAAAAGGAGACATAAATACAGATATTACAGAGGTTTGCAAAAAAGAGATACAACTTCATGCTAATGAATTTAGTAACATAGACAAAATGGACAAAAATATACCTGACCTGAGCAGTGCAGGGAAAATAAAAATAGGTTTCCAAGTGTGTGTACATGCACGTGCACAGAACATGTCAAAAACATACAAAGGATCCTGGAAGCAGCTGTACCCTAAAGAGGGGCTTGGGTGGTAGCAGGGACACTCACAGACCAATCATTACTCTAGAGTTTGCACTTCCTGAGTTGTGAACTGTGTGGTGAGTCACCTGCTCAACAGTGGATCCATATGTGCCCGCAGACAAGGAAAGGCCTCACCTGGTTGCATGTGCAGGCCGGCTCAGTAGGTGGGGAGCAAGCTGTACAGCAGGAGCAGATCCCAGTATTAGCTGGCACTAGGTCTTTTCTTTCTGTCTTTTTAATCTTTACAAATTTGGTAGGTGATAATGGCATCATCTTTGTTTTCATTTGTGTCTCTTTGATTATCACTGAGGCAGAACTCTTTTCCTACATCTTCATTAGCCACCTGTATCTCTTCTTTTATGAATTTCTTGTTCATTAGTGGTGACTAATGGTAAGTCAGTAATAAACACTGTTGCATTCATGTTTAGACTAAAAAGGAAATTTAAAAATCTGCACAAATATACTCACAATAAGTGATTGTTGAATAGCCCAAGATAACTGTCCCAACTGCTGGGTTAGAGGCACTTAATTAAGCCTAAGATGAGTCGTTGAATGGTGATATGAAGCTGAATTGTTTTCCCCAATCCAAACACTTCAAACTCGCCCAAATCCCATGGAATTACACCCAAGCATGCATTCATTCATTCACAGAACAGCCTCTGTTTGCCAAGCACTGTGCTTTGATTGGAGACCAGGGTCTGTTGGAAAGCCTCATTCAATGGGAACCAGCGGCACTTCCCACCCTTCTTTACCCCCTTTCCAGAAGGCCATTTTAGCTGTTATCAGTACTGCTAAATTACTAGCCCATTATTCAAATGATATAGAGCCAATCCAAAAGCTCAGACCAGGACATTTTCCCAATACTTTCACAATCACTGCTTTACATACAGTCTCACTGAATGCTCAGCAACATTAAAGTAGTTAACCAAAGGCAATACAGGCTCAAGGACAGAAAAAGCACTTGACAACTAGTAGGTATAAAAGCTGAGATTTAATCCTGAGGGCAACATGGCTCAAAAAGCCTATGCTCCTCTTCTATCCTGAGATAAAAATTTGAAAGCATGTTTTTTTCCTTGCCCATACATCAAGGGTTGCAAGCAACAGAAACCAACTCTAGCTAACTGCAATTACAAATGAGTTTTGTTTTGTTTGTTTTTTTTTGTGTGCAGATCTGGAGCTGGAGAGAAGACTAAGCCCAGAAAAGTGTTTTCATAACTGAAAACTAAGCTCAGAAAAGCAGCCACACAACTGAAAACACAGCCAAGGTGCACTAAAGGCACTATCTGGTTGGGAAACCCATCCTGGGCATCACCAGATCATCTCTGGACATTAGCCACCACTGCTTGCTTTCTGATACATACCAGTAAGAAGAAACTGTCCCTGGAAGTTGCTTTCCCTTCCTGGGTTCAAGAACCATAGGCTAGCGAACAGATCTGAACCCCATCTTGCATCCAGAACCATTAGAGAGAAATAAATGATTGCTTTGTTATAGGCACTATTTGTTCCTCAGTTAAAAAAAAGATAGATGTGGAAATGGAAATGATTGAATGGTCTGTAGGGTAAGCTGGCAAGTCCCTATTGCCCGTTCCCCATGCTCTCCTCCTTTCTACCTGGAGAGGAGGATGCAATGGCTAGAGCTGCAAGTGCCATCTTGTAACTATAGGCAACCTTGAAAATGGAAGTCTCTTGCTCAGGGTGATGGAGGAAGACTGAGGAGTTCTGGATCCCAGATACTGACAGAACCACTGCAGTGGCCATGGACAGCCTGCCTCCAGACTTCAGGGCACATGAGAGAAGAGGACACCACAAGTCTCCAGTCCCATATTTAGGCTTTCTTAAGTAGAAGCCAGGGTCCACCTGTCTCTTACCTAAGATCCACACAATGTGGGTTTCTTTTCCAAAATTGTAAAAAAATTGTTGACAGAATTACAGATGTCCCCCATATTCCCTTCCTTTGCCTCCCCCCCACCCAGTCCCCGCCCTAACCCAAGCCTTCACCACACTATTGTCTGTGTCCATAGACTATGCATATCCTATATAATAAAAGCCTAATATGCTAAGTATCCAGTCGTCGGTTGTCCGTTCAACCAATCAAAGCATAATATACTAATGATATGCTAAGGCCACTCAACCACTAGCTATGATGTGCACTGAACACCAGGGGGCAGACACTCTGGCTGGTAGGTTAGTTTGCTGCTGGGGTCCCACTGATCAGGACTGAGTGAGACGGGCCAGACACGCCCTGGAGCCCTACCGCAGTCCCTCCCTGGCTGGCCAATCTTCTGCATTCCTCCCCGGCCCTGATTGTGCACCGGTGGGGACCCTCGGCCTGGCCTGCACCCTCTCGCAATCTGGGACCCCTCGGGGGATGTCAGGGAGCCGGTTTTGGGCTGATCCTACAGGCCAGGCCGAGGGACCCTACTGGTGCACAAATTCGTGCACCGGGCCTCTAGTATACATATAAGCTCTTTGGTTAATCTCTTTCCATCCCCGCTCCCTGCTCCTCTGAGATCTATTAGTCTGTTCCATGAATCTCGACCTATTTTGTTCATCAGTTTACTGTGTTCATTAGATTCCACATATAAGTGAGATCACATGATAGTTGTCTTTCTCTGACTGGCTTATTTCACTTAGCCTAATACTCTATAGGTCTTTTACCTCCTTGGCTAAGTTTATTCCTAGGTATCTTATTTTTGTTGTAATGGTAAGTGGAATTGTTTTTTTTTAAATTTCTCTTTCTGAGAGTTTATTATTGGTGTATAAACATGCCATCGCTTTCTAGATGTTAATTTTGTATCCTGCTACTTTCCCGAATTCATTTATTAAGTCTAGTAGTTTTTTGGTGGAGTCTTTAGGGGTTTTTATGTACAATATCATGTTATCTGTGAATAATGACAGTTTTACTTCCTCCTTTCCAATTGGATGCCTTTTATTTTTTCTTCTTGTCTGATTGCTGTGTCTAGGACTTCCAGAACTATGCTGAATAAGAGTGGTGAAAGAGGACATCCCTGTCTTATTTCTGTTCTTAAGGGAAACATTTTTAGTTTTTGCCCACTGATTATGATGTTGGCTATAGGTTTGCCATAAATGGCCTTTTAAAAAAATCATATATGCGTGTTTATTCCAATACTGCTGGCAGTATGGGAGAGCAGCAGGTCACCCACAAAAATCTGCTCTGCAGCCCCCCATAAGCCAGCTGCTTATATAGGGTAGGACAAGGATTACATGGGGAAGCAGGGACTACAGGCCTGGGGAAGTAGGAGGCTGGGATGGGACTCCATTGTCTGGGCAACAAGATTGTTAATCTTTCTAAATGGCCTTTTTAAGAAAGTATATTTTTATTGATTTCAGAGAGAGAGGGAGAGATAGAAACATCAATGATGAGAGAGAACCATATTGGCTGTCTCCTGCGTACCCCACACTGGGGATTGAGCCCACAACCTGGGCATGTGCCCTGACCGAGAACCAAACCGTGACATCTTGGTTCTTAGGTTGACACTCAACCACTGAGCCACACTGGCTGGGCAATATGGCCTTTTTTATGTTGAGGTATATCCCACTATTTCAACTCTGCTGAGAGTTTTCATCAAAAATGGGTGCTGGATTTTTATCAAATGCTTTTTCTGTGTCTATTGATAGGATCATGTGATTTTATCTTTTTTTAAAAAAATATTTTATTGATTTTTTTAGAGAGGAAGGGAGAGGTAGAAACATTGATGAGCGAGAAACATCGATCAGCTGCCTCCTGTACACTCACTACTGGGGATGTGCCCGAAGCCAAGGTACATGCCCTTGACTGGAATCAAACCTGGGACCCTTCAGTCTGTAGGCCGACACTCTATCCACTGTGCCAAACCGGTTAGGGCTATCCTTCATTTTTTTATGTGATGTCTCACATTTATTGATTTGTGAATATTGTACCAGCCTTGCATCCCCAGAATAAACCTGCGTGAGTCTTTTAACACACAAAAAATATCAAGGTGCTTAGAAGCAAAAAAAAAAGGCACAACAAAATGTTCATGATAAACCATATGTAAGCTTTACTCACTACACAGTTTTTTTCACTAAGTTATCACAATCACTATAACTCAAGCTACTGAAAAATGACAAAATAAATTCTGAAATTCTTTCTTCCTATTTCTGTTGGCTAAAAATGCAGCCTTTGAGTTGTTTATAAGTGAATACAAGAGACAAAAATAAACCTATATAATTCAGAATGTACTGAGGACAACACAAATGCCTTCTATGTGATAAGCTCCCAGCATTATTTATTCAAAGAAAACTTGCCTCACTGCAAAAATATGTAAAACTTAAAAATAAAACAATTAACAACACAACACACCACCTCCTACAATACCAGATTGCTTTCCTTTCCTTCACAGTATGGGTGTCATAACCTGACCAGAACAAAACAAAACACTGTTTGAACTGCTGAGACTCAGAAAGTTCGCTTAACTGGCCAGAGCATTTTGCTCTTCCTAACTACATCTGCCAAGGAGGGAGACAAGTGGCTCAAGCCTGCTGAGTGAACCTGGAAGAACCAGGTCCAGATAGTGGAGGTGTGTGGGAAAGTCATGTCGTGAGCCAGAAACCCTGCCCCTTACTGGTCCCAGGAGAAACTCCATCAGCCACTCATGCCAGATGCCATACTATGGCAGGGGAAGGCCCTCAGAAGTTACATGGGGTCTCTGTTCCAGAAGCTCATAACCCACTAGGGAAAGAGCAACATGTGAGAAAACCATTGTTCTTTCTGGCTACAGGGGTTGCACCAGATGTCTGTAGGGGTCACTAAGGGCCCAAAGGCAGAGTCAGGCCTGGAAGCTGGGGTGGGCAGTGTCAGCCTCCTCTCAGGAATCAGTTCCTGAGGCTTCGTCCAGTCAGGCGGAAAACTACAAAGACCACTTTCATGGGTACTTCAAGCAACACATCTGTTGGCAAAACACAAATGTTGTTACACAAATACCAAGCCACAGATTGGAAAGGCACCTGACAGCCTTTAAATTCATTTCTCCTGTTTTTCAAAGCTTCATTGGGAAATCATGCTATTAAACTGTACACTCATAAAGGATGTATGTTTAAAATGTGGGGCAAACTGTGTCGGTGCTATTTAGACTCTCATCAAATTATTCCATGTTTTTTGATAAACGCAAATCCCCCAAAAGTAACTCTAACCCCACATATCTGCCCCTTATGTGTACCTTCTGACTCCAGACTGCAGGTTTGATTAACCCACAAACAATATTGTTCCTTTTGGCCACACAGAAGCTAATGGGTCAATAGCAGAGCAGGATGCAGTCTACTCTGCCCCTCTTAGCATAAGATAAAATCTTAGGACAAGGTCCCACTTCAGAATTCACTCATCCATCCATCCATTCATCCACCATGCCAATTTTAGGTGCTGGAGATACAGCAGACAAGAGGTGAAAAAAATCTCTTCCTTCATGGGGCTTAGATTCTCGTGGAAGGGAGAGAAGGAAAGGGAGGGAGGAAGGGAACACAAATAAAACCAATGAATAAAACAGCATATAGCAGATGATAAGTGCTAGGCCAGGCAGGGGGAAGTGGTGGGGTAGAAGCAGGCATCAATCTTCAGGGAGGGCCACACTTGAGCAGACTTGAAGGAGACCCAAAAGGGCCCTGCCTGGGGCAAGAATGTCCCCAACAGAGGGAAGGATCCTGAGGCCAAGACCTTGAGGCAAGGGTGTACCTGGAGGTTCCAGGGAAAAGCAAGAAGGCCAGGGAGACCTCAGTGGGTGACAGGAGAGTAGCAGGAGAGGTGACTACAATGAGCCTTGTAGACCACTCTAAGGACTTTGGCTTTGACTCTGAGCAACAGGGGAGCCAACTGGAGGGTCCTGAAGAGAAGAGAATCACGTTCTAGCCCAAATATTGCAGGACTGAACAGAGACACAGGGAGCAAGGGCAGAGGCACGCTGGGTGCTTGGACCAGGATGCGACCAATGGAGATGGGGGACACCTTTTAGGGAGAATGAACAAGGTTTCTGGATAAATGGATGTGGTGTGACCGAAAAGCATTCTGGGTAACCAGCAGCAGGTTTCTGGCCTAAGGAGTAGGAAGATGGAGTTGCTGTTTAATGGGAAGTGGAAGACCAGGGAAGGAGAAGGTGTGGGGGTTTGGGAGCTCAGGTTTGACATCTCTGCTCAGTTGGAGGAGCCCATTAGAAGCTGAGCAGAGATGTTAAGTCAGCACTGGGAGCACAGGTGGACCTGGTCAGCATGGAGACAAATTTGGTAGCCAGTGGTTTGCAGATGGAATAGAGAGACATGGGGCTGGATAAGATCACCTTGGATGTTAGGGTGGAGAAGTCTGAACCCGAGGCCCTCCAACACCATGTGGGGCACTGAGGAAGATCCAGACTCCATTCTAGGTACCTCTGTGAATACAGTGAACAATCCTGCCCTATAGAGTTCTGCCCCAGCAGGGACGACACAGTTAAGATAAACATGATTAGTCACCTATTTTGTTAGAAAGGGACCAAAACTGTGGTTTGGGGGAAAAATAGGGCATTCTAGGTAGGCCCCACTGAGAAGATGCACACTGGTGCAAAGGGACAGACTCATATGGATACTGGGATCACTGATACTGATAGGTTGGGGAAGAGAAAAAGTGACAACTGGCCTCCAGGTTTAACAACACAAAGGTCATCATTCGTATCAGCAAAGGACTGAGTAGAGAGGGCTCAAGAGAGCATATGGAGAGATGTAGTGGAGTCTTGCTGGAAGAGGGAGGCAGAGAAGCTGGAAGGGTGGTGGGGCCAAGAGAAGCTTCTGTCAAGGTGGGAGAGATAACAGCAGGCTTTTAGGGGGATAGGAAGGACCCAACTTTGAGGGAGAAATCTCTAATGCAAGAGAGGGCTGGAGAGATGGCTCAGAACAGGAGCAGGAGTAAGGGCCCAGAAGAGCGCTGGGGAGAAGGAACGGGGCAGATGCTAGTAAGGAGATACAGGGCCTGCAGATGTTCTCTTCAGATTGCTTCCCTGCCTCTTTGGGAACTAAGAAATGAGATTATCAGCTGCAAGATGGTGTGACAGCTGATGAGGAGGGTGGTAGAAGCAAGGAGAGATTGGGAAATTGCAGTATGATGGCTGGGCAGTGTGAAGTTCTCCTGAAGTGGATGTGAACTTGAAATGAGAACAGTCAGGGGGCCACATTCAGCTGTATAGCAGAACAGATATGGGGCAGATGGATGACTGAATTTCAGCAGGGGTGGGGCTTCGCTGGTTGAATATGACAAAGCAAGAAAGTGGTGAGGCTTGGAGGTGGTATGCCAGGAAGCATTAGGACAGCCTGGGAAAGAGATGAGGGTACGAGGGGAGCAAGGACCAGAGAGAAGATAGAACCATCAATGGTGTTTGAGTGCCACTGAAGGCAAAGGATTATGGAGTTGGGTATAGAGGCTGTGAGCTGAACACATAGGAGAACTCTTATTTTGCAGATGATAACAATGACTAGGGCTAAATTTTCTGGCACCAGCACCAGCCACTGTGAAAGTTGTTTGACTTTGAGAAAGAATGAATAAGATGTGGCTATTCTTTGGGGGAAAAAAACCACAACCACATATTTTTATTGATCTCAGAGAGGAAGGGGCGAGGGAGGGAGAGAGAAAGAAACATCAATGAGAGAGAGAGAGAAACATCAATGATGAGAGAGAATCACCGATCGGCTGCCTCCTGCACACCCCACACCAGTAATTGAGCCCACAACCTGGGCATGTGCCCTGATCGGGAACCGAACCGTGACCTTCTGGTTCATAGATTGAGGCTCAACCAATGAGCCACATCGGCCAGGCAAGATGTGGCTATTCTTCAGAACATGTGCATCTTTTTTTTTTTAAAATATATTTTATTGATTTTTTACAGAGAGAGGAAGGGAGATAGAAAGAAGTTAGAAATATCGATGAGAGAGAAACATCGATCAGCTGCCTCCTGCACATCTCCTACTGGGGATGTGCCCGCAACCCAGGTACATGCCCTTGACCGGAACTGAACCTGGGAGCCTTCAGTCCGCAGGCTAACGCTCTATCCACTGAGCCAAACCAGCTAGGGCCATGTGCATCTTTAAAAAGTTGTCCTGAATACACAGTTGTAAGTACTTTAACTTATAAAAAATATTTCATTTCCATGTTGAGTCACAGAACAAGGTACAGAAGTACAGAATGGATTTAAGGAAATACTTAATGTTTTTCTTCCTTTATTTTGTTTATATTTTATTTTGATTTTCTTAAAATATATTTTTATTGAGTTCAGGGAGGAAGGGAGAAGGAGAGAGAGATAGAAACATCAATGATGAGAGAGAATCACTGATCAGCTGCCTCCTGCACGCCCCCTACTGGGGACCGAGCCCACAATGTGGGCATGTGCCCTTGATCAGAATCGAACCTGGGACCCTTCAGTCCATAGGCTGACGCTCTATCCACTGAGCCAAACAGCTAGCGCTATATTTTATTTATTTTTTTAAATTAAATTGAATTTATTGGGATGACAAAACCATACAGATTTCAAGTGTACAACTCAACAAAACATCATCTGCACACTGCATCCTTCGCCCCAAGCAAAGTCTCTTTCCGTCCCCATTTATCCCCTTTGCCCACACCCCCTTTCCCTCTGGCTATCACCACACTGTTGTCTGTGTTTTATATATATGTTTTCTTGCTAAATCCCTTCACCTTCTTTCATCCAGCCTCAACCCCCTGCCCCCCACCCCGACAGCTGCCAGTCTATTCCATGCATCCATGCCTTTATTTCTATTTTGTTCATTAGATTCCACATATAAGTGAGATGATATGATACTTGTTTTTCTCCGACTGGCTTATTTCACTTAGCAAAATAATCTCAGGTCCATCTAGGCTGTCTGTCACAAAAGGTAAGATTTCCTTCTTCCTTTTTTTTTTTAACAGCCAAGTAAGGGAACACTTCATTTTAACTACACAAATTTTCCAGTGAATAATGAGAGTTGTCCTATTATCGCTGCCAGATTGTGACAACCAGACGAGTTATGTGGGTCCTAAGTAGAAGACTACTTAGGACAAGATGAGCATCTCATTAAGTCTACTGTGAACTCCTTTAGCTGAACTACTGTGGTCATGCCACACAGAATAGGACTGAATTGCCACTGCCCATCAACTTATAGCTCGGATTCCACTGAAAACAACCATTCGGTGGGGATCCTGGCCTTCCCTGGGCCCTTTTATCCTAGAGTTGGACGGGCTTCTATAGTGGATTCAATGGTAGCCCCAACAAGGTACGTATATGTCTTAACCATCAGATCTATGAATGCAACTTTATTTGAAAAAGGGGTCTTTGCAGATGCAATTAAGTGAAGAATTACAAAATGAGACCATTTAAACTTAGGGTGAGAAGACACACAAGAGAAGGCCAACTGAAGATGTAAGCAGAGATTGGGGTGATGTAACCACAAGCCAGGAATGTCTAGGATTGCCAGGCAGCTGCCAGCTGCGAAAGTGGCAAGGAAGGATTCTTTGCTAGAGCCTCAGGAGTGAGTGGGCCCTGTGACACCTGGATTTTGGACATCTGGCATCCAGCACTGTGCAAGAATATGCTGCTGTCCCTTTTGCAGCTGTCACATAAACTCACCAGCTTCTACTTGAGCTCTGATTCTCACTAGACTCCTGAGCTTTAACAAAGGATCCATGTGCCTTCTATCCTCTTGCTTTTACCAAAGAGGAAGTGCCTACCCCAAGCCCGCCCTCAGGTGGTCACTCTTCATGCACGGACTCTACTCTGCAACTTCCTAGGGCCCCGTGTCTCCTCTTCCTTTTTTCCTCCTTGTGCAAACACGCTCACATAGCCACCCATCTGAAAAAGACCCTCTGCAACCCCACATCACCTTTGACCCCACCCCCATTTTTCTGGTCCTCATTACAGAAAAACTTTTCAAAAAGAGTTGT